GCCAACCGTTTTCCTACGACATGGGAAAACGAAATTCGAACTTCCAGTTTCGTTTTTCATTTACCCACGCTATCGGAAAAGGGAATTTGAACTTTTATTTTCGTTTTTCGTTTTCCTACTACATTGTAAACGAAATTGGAACTTCTATTTTCGTTTTTTTTTTTGTTTCACCATGACTTCAGTCGTACCACAGAATTGCAATTGTCATCTCCGGTTTTCATCGTCTATTTTCGTAAGACATTGAAAAACGGGATTTGAACTTCGACTGTTCGTTTCTCGTTTTCGTGTTCTATTATATTATCTCAAGACAGTAGCCTATTAAGGTGGCTGAACACAATTTTTGATGCCTGTGTTTCATTCATCTTTTTCTCTAAAACCCTTGATCCCTCGGTCGCCAAAAATGGCAGCAAGCAAGTTAACAACACAAACGTTGGTTTTTTGATGGTTAAGCTGACGTATGTGCCGTTGCCATGGCAACATGAATAAATGTAAACAGGCCTTCAAAATCGGTTTTGTGTATTTGTTGAAAATCTAGTCGTTAGATTTTCTTTATAATTTGCATGCAACAAGCTTGTAACGTTTCTCACAAGTTAACACCAGTTTGCTAATAATTTAACAGAGAGATCTTTAATTATCCCTTATTAAAGGTTCACTGGAATATCTAGAATTTCCTTTGTTTAAAGTTCAAATTTTTTTCAATACTCCAGTTACTTATTTCCTAAAGTGTTTTCGTGCTAAATTTCTTGAAATTCTAATGAGTGGTTCTCGTGAAATAGGCGTATTTCCGAGAGGACAATTTTTCATTCAATCGCAATTTTTTGACTTACTAACCATCCGCTGCATTTAACGGGGTTCTCTCGCTGACAAAGAAAAAGCTGAGAATTGCTAGGTTCTTTGCATCGTTACCTTTTCTAACATATCTTTGCAATAAAACACTAAAGCCATTAATACACTGCGTTCAATTATGGAGAAAAATAGCCCAGATAGTGCGGGTGTTGAGTAAATAAAATGATTACTCTATGACGGCATCATTTGTTTTTTGCATTGCTTGTGCGTGCGCTGAATTGCATCAGCAAAAGCGCGCGCGAAAACTGTGGTCGGCCACCTTAAGCAGACGCTAGCGGCCTTTGCGCTTATATATATCATAGCTAACTGTACATGATGCACGTCATAGCTAACTGTATATGAAGTCACTGTCATTTCAACAGAATAGCATAAAAAAAAACTGTGCAGCTAATATTTATAGAAAACTAATATTTACGAATTTTTCAACCCGCTACAAACCGTATCGAGGGAACTGACTGTTAATAAAAGCATTCTGTTTAATAGGACTACCACGATATCGATAACGGCAATTTATTTTTTTATCCTTGTAATTTTAAAATTTTAAGCTTCAGTTTCTAATTCCGCGTAGTAAATTTCAGTAATGTAGATAGAGGGCCACCCTAATTAACTAATTAATTATTGTTCTTGTTATTGTTATCGTAGTCCTCATCCTCATCCTCATCCTCATCCTCATCGCTATTGTTATTGTTATCGTCGTCGTCATCGTTATTGTTATTGTTATTATGATGTGAGGTATATATGATATAATTCATATTTGAACTGCGGTTGTAGATGAAAGTGAAGAATGATCATCGCAGTAAATTTTCTAATTTAAGCAATTGGNATGATGTGAGGTATATATGATATAATTCATATTTGAACTGCGGTTGTAGATGAAAGTGAAGAATGATCATCGCAGTAAATTTTCTAATTTAAGCAATTGGTAAGAAGAAGCCTGAAAAAATCAGGGCTTCAACGGGATTCGAACCAGTGACCTCCGCAATACCGGTGCGATGCTCTACCAACTGAGCTATGAAGCTACACGTTAGGAGCGAGGTCAATTAATTGAGTTCATCTCTTCCCGTGAGGAGTGAAATGATCTGAAGTATATATGAACTTCTCAGTTAAAAAGTCTACAGTCTGCATTTTAGCCCTGGTCTCCAGTCTGCATTTTACCCTCAGTCTGCATTTTACCCCAGTCCGCAGTCTGCAGTCCTCATTTTTACACTAACCGGATATCGACTGTTCCATCCGCAACTGACCTTCTCTTCTTGTCACCATGACAACTGAAAAACGAGAATCGAAGTTCAAATTCCGGTTTTCAATGTGTTATAAAAACGAAAGACGAAAACAGGAAATGACAATTAGAATTCTATTGTCCAAAGTTGTGGGAAAACGAAAATAAAAGTTGGAATTCGAATTCCCTGTTCCGATGACGTGGGTAAACGAAAAACGAAATTGGAAGTTCAAATTACGTTTTCCCACATCGTAGGGAAACGGTTGGCACTGAGGTACACACATTATTCTTCTTTCGAAATTTTTTCGGTTTCTCATACTTTACAATGGTATTTTTATGAGTGTGAAGAGTGTGACATTGCGTGAACGTTTTGCCACGAGCTTCAAAAAGATAATCAAGAAAAGACCAAATGCCTGGTGACTTTTTAAATGTTTTGCCGTCAATAGAATGGTATTTTTTTTTTCCTATCCTCTTCACAGCATGTCAGTTCCTCGCGATTTATTGATTCAGCCATGCTTTGTAACAGTTTTCTCTTCAAGACCCCGTTTACATGTACTTCGCAAACGTTTCAATGAGAATTTTGTGCCTTGAGTAGCGAGCCAAACAAATACTGGCAAATTTTGTGCCCGGCTCGTCGGCGAGGCTACAGTATACTAGCAAATTATTGTGTCCCCCTTGACCCCTTCTCGCTCGGCTGGCGAAGCTTCTGAGCCAGCGAGACGGTCTCAAGGGGACACAAAAATTTGCCGTTATTTATTCAATCTCCTACCTACTATTAAAGGTGTCAAACTTAATAGCGGAGCTCCGGCGGCCCGAAGGGCCGCCAAGCGGAGCCCCATACTCATATGGGAAAGAAAA